CACAAAATTTTTCTGTGCAAAAAGAAAAAAACATTGGATTTTTCCCTGACTTTGTCCTCAAATCCCTGTTGCCCTTTTTTATTTTCTGCCCTGAGGTGTAACAAAATTTTGCAAATTTAGTCCGACTTCGCCGCCCAAGGGTTAGAAGAATTGCCAGGATTCCGCCCAAGGTGCACTGTTCTGCTTCTTTTTAAAAGCTTGTTGTACAGGGACCAAATTTTGTGGAAGAAGTCCAACTTTGCTGCCTTCTGAGGCTTAATACACCTAAAAATTATTAATTCAAGCCTTTGCAAGTCAAAACTTCTTTATGTCAACATAATATTCATTCTTTGATTTATTATCCCCATCACACTACAATTTTCTCAAATAAACATTGCAGTGCTCTGATGGAAAAATAATATTTTTGGGTCAGACAAATACTAAAGCAACCCACTCCACACTTGACTTCACTGACCACCACAAGAGAAGTAAGGCATCCATTCAAGTGAAACAAATTGATGAGGCAGTGTGCAACAACAAAAAATAAGAAACGCATCCCAGAAAAGGCAAGAGAATTCCTGACCGTGACTGATGTGCATCAATTGTTGTCAGCATCACAATTGACTCGATTTAACAATTACGAACCCCATTAAGCCGGAACATGACGAGGACAGAAGCCAGGGTTGCATCGGAATCTGCCTTTGTTGGAGTTATTGGAGTGTGATGGATTGGGTGTTGTTTGCCACACTGGCTGCTCCTCATCATTGTGTTTTTCAACTGCTCTTGCAGATGTCGCACCCTCTTTGCGATTTCACTGCCAATCAATAAGATTCTAAGACAGCAGTCACCCCTATAACTCACCACAGGTGGACACAGACTTGTCAATAGTGCATGTCTGTCAACTTCAACTTCAACCCCTGTACAATGGACTACATTCATCCAACAGACTAGTGCGTCATGGGAAAAGTCTGTCATGAAAAATCAGTTATTAAAAAATTAAAATTTTTACTTTTTACCATCAAAGTTAGACCAACAGAAATTCTTTAGGCAGATTTTTTTTAAATTATTCAGTTGAATAAACTGCCTCCAAAGGTTTTCTGTTATAGGCAAAAATCCCTTAGTTGGGAAGTCAGTTAGGCAGGGGTTGACTGTACAGTACTAATGATTTAGGATTTTGTATTACAATCTGGAAAAAAATAAACTGTGTATATGCCTGGAACAGAAAAATATTTTAATTGAAAGTTTTAAAATCAAGGGAATCAAGTTCCAAGAAAAAATTTTTAATAAAAATTGAGTACCAAGAATGCATTAGCTTTGTTGTGTGGTGACAAACATGATTACTCCCTCAAATTGTCTCTGTGTTACTCAGTAATTATATTTTTATCCACTTAGAGAATTTATAACAGGGCAGAATAATTGACAAACTGGTTGGTGGAGTGTGTCCAGCACAGCACAGGAAATGGCTGCTGCTGCTGCTGCAAGTCTGCTTGAATTATTTCTGTCACCAGCACCATCATCAAAAACAGCACTTGATGGAAGTAGGGGAAAATGTTAGCAAGCGATGAGGTCATCTCAGAATATTGCTTGATGATTGAGTAAAAGTGAGTTCAAATCAAAATATAATATACCCTGTAATAGACAGAACCTGCAACAGCATGATGAATGCACAAGATGAAAATGTTTCACATTTGTTGCTAAAGAAAAACTTATGAAAGTGTTGAATTATTTTGGCGAGGCTTCTGAAAAATGGGCAGCTGCTATATAAACTCTTAGTACACAGTAAATCAGCAATCTCTTTATCTGCCATCAATCATCATTCTTGCTTCTGGCAGAAACATCAAAAGAAAAAGTTGGATCAAAGAAAGTAACGCATTTTTGGCTGAGGCAAAATGGGCTTGCGTGTTGGTAATAAGTGGATGAAATCGCATCAGTATCAGGAGAAATTGGAGCAAGACTCAGGGCACACGAATGTGCAGTCAGTATAAGTATACATCTAAGCTATATAGTCAA